TATATATATATGTATACACACACACACACATATACATACATGTATATTTTTTTAAGGTTTTTTTTTTCTTTTTTGTGCAGGGTCTTACTACGCAGCTCAGACTCGTAGTGGTCCTCCTGATTTCTGCCTCCCTAGTGCTGGGATTACAGGCGTGCACCACCACACAGGGACTCCATCAGTGGCTCAGCATGTGGTGCCAGGGATTGAACCCTGAACAAATGTATTTTTAAATGTATAAAATGCATAAAATTGCAAAGGAAACACATGATGTTAAATTATGACTATCCAAGTTTCAAAAACATGGGATAGGGCTGGCCAATTAGCTCAGTGGATTAAAGCACCTGCTTAGGCAGATGCAGAGCCCGGGCTTTGATCCCCAGTATGCCCTGCTGGCCCATCCCTTGGCGCGTGCTGAGACAGCAATGGAGACTACGCATGGTGGCACACTTCTATAATCCCAGCTCTTGGGAGGCTGAACATAGGTGGGTCAATATGAGTCTAATCGATATAATGAGACTCTGTAGTCTCTGTCCTACAATACAAAAAATAGTGGAATGGCTGGGAGTGGTGGCTGATACCTGCAATCCCAGCACTCAGGAGGCTGAGGCAGGAGGATCACTGCAAGGTAGAGACCAGCCTGGGCTACATAGTGAGCTCAAGCCCAGCTTGAACTGCATGGCGAGACCCTATCTTCAAAAGATTAAAAAAAAAATTGTGGGATATATATGTGCTTCTTTATTAACACATTAAAAATGATCTAGAAGGCCCAGTTTCAAAGAAGTTTTGAGTGTAAACAGTTTTTCATGATATTAGCAACAACTATAATATGATATAAAATACCTGACTTCTCATGGTAGGGACAAAATTATGGGTAGCATTAATTTTGGGTTTGTGCTACAGAAAGGAGTGAAGCTGGAGAGATAGCTCAGTGGCTCAAGTACCTGCCTGGCAAGCACAAGGTCCTGAGTTCAATTCCCAGTACCGGAAAAAACAAAGACATGGTCATAAGGGAATGAAATGTTAAATTTAGTTAGAAGGCAGTGAAAATAAATATCTTGTTTAATTTCCCTGGAATTCGTGGGCTTTCCAGGCTATGCAGTGATGATCCCTGCTTAACATCATAGGCACAAAGCTGGGTTGCCGTGGGCACTGTTAGTGACTGCTTCTCAGAGGGCTGAGGCAGGATCGTTTTAACCCAAGAGTTCAAGGCCAGCTTGGGTAACACAGCAAGACCCTAACTAAGAAAACGCCTCCACTCAGCTCCTTCAAAACAACAACAAAACAAATGGAAAAAAACCATCAAATATATCAAGAACTATAACCAGTTCATGCAAATCAATATGCATACGGTAGCTTTATGGATACCATAAGATAATGGTTGGATGGGATAGTTATACTTTGCCAAATACCTATAATATGTCTAATAGGGCTGGTGAGATGGCTCGTTGCTCTAAAGCACCTACTTAGAACAAACTAAGCTAAGCAAAGCAAAGTGCGGGGACCGCGGTTCAATCCCCCAGCACCACATGCCAGCCAGCACCGCCCCTGGTGGGCTGAGCTGGCCACACACACACAGTAAATAAATATAATATGTCTAATATTTGTATAGTAAATATTTCATATGTGCCCTGGCAGATGTAGCTTAAGACTGAAAAGACAGTTTGGCTAAAGATTCTATTCTTATTCAAGTAGTTCTAACATTAAACTTGAACTTGAAACATTTACAAGTCATTATCTTTCCACTATTAAAGAATTCTGTTCTCAGTTCCTGAGTCAGCTAGTAAACATCTCCGAAATGATTTTCCCAAATAGTCCTCTGTCAGCAGGAACTAGGTTAGAACCTGCTTGGCTTTACTCTTAGGAATGTTGTGTTGCTGCTGCTGCTGCTGGGGTTTTGTGTTTGTTTATTTTGCTATTAAAAGGACTAGGGCATGGGGCTGGGGAGATAACTCAGCGGTCTAGGTGTCTGCATGACAAGCTCAAGGACCTGGGTTTGATCCCCAGTACAGCAAGCCTGGGCTGGGCCGGTGCTGAGCAGACCACCACAAGCAGGCCTGGTGGTGCATACCTGTAATCCCAATGCTGGGGAGACCAATGAGACAGAAGGATCACCATAAGTCTGAGCTGTGTAGTGAGACCCTGTACCAAAAAAAAAAAAAAGACTAAGACAATCCCTATGCTGCCACTCCAAGGAGGAAAAGAATATCTGCAAAGAGAACCAGAATTAATGCTCCTGTCTCCAGCCCATACTTGGTGGCTTGCTCAGGGTTGCTTTGCTTCTAAAGGGAGAGTAAGGCCGTAGGTCTTGCCTTCAGTCCTCTTTCCACTGTACTGACTGCTTCCCGTTGGCCAGGACCACCTGGGCTGTAATTCCTTTCTACCCAGTTCCACTGCCTTTCCGTGGACCTTGTCCTCCTCACTCATCTCTGTCCCTCTTCATCAGGTCTTAGCTGTGGCTCAGTCTGGAAATCGCTGTCCTCGTGGAGCTGTGTCAGAGGTGAGAAGTTTGACAACCGCTGGCATTTTCATTTGCTCTAGTCCCTAGTTCAGTTTAATGTTTAGTTTAGTTTAGAGGTGTGGTCATACTATGTAGGCCAGGCTGGTCTTGAGCCCATTACATAGCCCTGGCTATCCTTGAACTTGGGATCCTCCTGCCTCAGCATCAAGATCACCTGAGATTCAGACATTGTCAACTGTGCCTGGCTCTCTAGCCCAGTTTTGAAGACCAGGCGAAAGCTATCCCTGTAATTCTCAACCGTTTTTATGGGCCTGGCAAATATCACCATGTATGCTTAGAGAAGAAACTGCTTTGATAGTTGAGCTCTCCTGTGGCCTCCCCTGGAGTCCGATGTGATAAGTAAGGACTTAGGGTGGTCCCACGGCCCCCCTCACTGACTCCACCCCCACTGCCACGCAGTAGCTCCAGCTCTGGCTCCCACTGGTTCTCGCGATCTGCCTCTCCAGGACAATCTCCACAATGTTTACACGATGCACTGGGGCCACAAGGCCCTCACAGAGGGAAAACTGAGGCCTTGTGAGAGCGGGACTCGGCCAGGGTCACATAGCCGATGAATGGCAGAACCACAAAGAAAACTGAGCCTCCTGATTCCTGTCTTGCTTCTACAAGGTCCTCAAAGTGCCCTTGACTCACTCGGGAGACAGCAGTGACTCCAGTCACTTCTTCCATGCCATGACTCCATGCATTAGGAAATGAGGTCGCTTCCTATATTCTCAAAGGCCTTCAGAGAAGGCAAATGCACACACACCCTTGAGTTTTTAATGGCGGACTTAAGGAAACTGCCTTCTTCCATGAAATAGAGACATTTTGCGCAGAGAGAACGGCTCACTGGAAGAGATGGACTCCCTGCCACAGAGCAGCGCTGAACATCTGCTCGGCTTTCACCTGCCCTTTTCACCTCTCTCGGCTCCAGCCCTCTTGGCCAGCACCTGCTCCCTGCTGCATCCCCACCCCAGAATTCTGGATCTGGCTACTCTTGTCTTTTTGAGGAAACACTGAACACTCCAGCTTCTCGTCATGATTATGTTCCAGCCCCATTTCCTCTCTGAGGCGTGGAGCCAGGGAGATTCCAGCTCTGGTGTGCCAGGGAGCCAGGTGTTTATGGGGTGCACCAGGCAGGCAGGCAGCTGTGTGTGTTGTTGGCGCCAGCTAGGATGGTATGGCTGGGCAGGCCCAGGGCAGCAGGGTGAATGGAAGGTGGCCTGGCTAAAAGGCATCGTGTGGAGGTACTCAAAGCTGTGTTTATGTTCCTTTTCTTAGCACCAATTTAGGTTAGTTCATTTACTGATTTTCTTCTGCAGTTGTTGTTTAAGAAGCCCATAGAGGAAAGGCTGAGACTGATTTTTTG